TTGCCTGAAGACATCTGCTACGAACGATTCGGACGCTACGCGCCTTACGGTTTTGGATACTCCGTCCCTGCTGGAGGTCTCGGCATCGGTGAGCACGGCGAGAAAGAAGGTTCTGACGCGGTGTGGGAGAAGACCCCTCAGGTGGACTGGCGCAAAGTTGACTGGGCAGATGCCCAGCGCCGGTGCTACCAGTCGAACAACGAGAGGTATAAGCCAATGCCCCCCAAGACCCCCGCCGCGCGTGGTTTCTTCGTCGACGAACCTGCTCAGAACGCGACCTTGGTGACGCGCGATCCTCTCGACAACTTGGAACCCAGTGCCAGTGCCAGTGCCAAAACCACCGAGGCAGACACCAAAGTCGATCAGGAGCAGAAGCCCAAGGAAAAGATGTCCCGAACCGCCGTTGTGATCCGTGTCTGGGATGAGTACAATTGGCGTGAGGAGGACATTATGAATGTTCGCTCGGTCATTTCCGAATTGGCACTGGCCTCAGGCGGACGATATGACGTGCATCTCCTCGTTCAGATCAAGAACGACGCAGCACACCCCGTTTGGGCCGATCACGAGGTTTACGAACGCCGTATCAGGGAGCGTATTCCTGAAGAGTTCAGAGGCCTGGTGACGCTGTGGACAGAGACGCAGATGTTGTCTTTGTACCAGGGTATCTTTGATCTCTACACTCGTGGACCTGACCTGCCAGTCCACGGAGTCTACCGCGGTCTCACTATGGCTATGCAATACTTCGGCTACCAGCACCCCGAGTACGACTTCTACTGGTCTTGGGAGATGGACATCCGCTACACTGGCCACTACTATGACCTCTTCTCCAAGATGGAGAACTGGGGCAAGGAGCAACCGCGAAAGGGCATGTGGGAGCGCAACTCTCGATTCTACATTCCTAGCGTCCACGGCTCCTGGGAGGACTTTAGGCAGATGACCCGTGTTCAGTCTGAGATGGGTACGGATGGCGCTGACAACGTGTGGAAGAACATCCCTGGCGCAAAGCCCAAGGAGAACCAAGATCCTACTAAGATTACAAGAGGAGAGAAGACCATATGGGGACCCGAGCGCCCCACCAACGAGGACGACTGGTTTGAGATCGAGAATGACCCCAAGCCGCCTACCACGTATGAAAAGGACAAGTACACCTGGGGTGTTGGCGAAGAAGCCGACTACATCGCCTTCAACCCCATCTTCGACCCAGAGGGAACCACTTGGTTGCTGTCAGAGGACATTACTGGATACAACAAGAACAACCGGGACGAGCCTATGCCGCCTAGAAGAGCCCACATCATCACTGCTTCGCGCATGTCTCGCCGCTTGCTCATGACGATGCACCGCGAGACTGCTTTCAAGAAGCACTTCGCCTTCCCCGAAATGTGGCCTGTTACCGTCGCTTTCCAGCACGGCTACAAGGCAGTATTCGCACCTCACCCCATGTATGTCGACAGAGAATGGCCCACGGAATATCTGGCCCAGGTTCTTAACGGCGGCAAGAACGGAGCTAGTGGTGGCGCTCGTACTGCTGTGTTTGGTCAGCGTGAGCACAACCTGCGCGGTCTCAGCTGGTTCTACAACTCGGGTTTTGCCCCGAACCTGTACCGTCGCTGGCTCGGCCTCAAAGTTAACAACGATGGTGGTGAAGAGTTCGAGACGACAGAAGATATGAGCAAGGACGGGTCTAGCGTTGGCCAGATGCGTGGTGGTGAGGGCCGTATGTGCCTGCCTCCAATGCTCATTCATCCCGTCAAGGGAGTTGATATTCCCGTGGAGAAGATACCCGAGGAGACAAAGGAGAGCGTCCCTGAGTCTGATCCGAACGCATGAACATGAGAAGGCGACCTTGGAGGTGTATGAAGCATGACCTATTTGCGTTGCACTTGGTGTTATTTGGCTCTTAATTCAAGGGCTTCATTTGGGACATACAGATGGTACGGCGTCTTGGGGTTAGCTTTGTTGGATTCTATTACGCACACTTTTGAGGCTTCACGAGATGGAACTCGTGGCTATTGTAGGAAAGGCATAATGCGTTGCCGTATACATGATGTATGATGTACATAATGACTGTCAGGTTAGAGGGAGTCATGATGGCCACAGAGGATGGCCAACAAAATCTTGCATCGCAATTCGATTCTGTAAAATGACTGTTCTTTGGTCAAAGCTGTTACCTCGTGAAGTGAATGCCCCTTTGACAACTTGAAAAGGCCAAATGTCAACTTCATGCCACAGAAACTAAAGCCTGCGCCGCTGTTGGAGCTATCGCTAGGCAGCCAGTCAGTCACAATCCTATCTCGCCGCTTCAGTCTGACTTATGGCGGCGCAGCAAACGGTTCTTAGTGTCCTGGTTGAGACAGGTGTTGCAACGGTATGCTGGCTTTTGGACACGGTGGTGGAATCGAGCTTGTCTGTGGTAGCCTACTAACATTCCTGGAGGAGCCAAGTGTGACTGCGCTTCTTGTACTGTTTGTGTTGTATTATAATGTGTGATGGCTTCTGGTGGCCTGAACGTCAGGGATGGAAAGCTTTAGTACTTCCTAGATAGAACGCACAGACAATGCTGGCCGCTTCCGGCTTCCTGTCTGTATGTTGTGACATTAGTCGTTGCGCTGAGACAGTGTCAATGGTCTTTTGCTCTCAGCCCGGCAAGACCATTGTATTCGGAGGTAGCCATGTCATCTAATTCCCTTGCTCCCAATTTGAGGAGTGTCATCGTGAAAGGCACTTAAAGGCCCGCTCGTATTGTATACTTGACCAAAAAAAAAAAGTCAAGCCCTTGCTTCATATTCAGAACCATTCGTGTCATTCATGTGATCCATGATACACTATACATCTCAAGCTCTCATCTCCAGGGGTATTGTTGGCATTGGGCCTCGAAGACCATCCTGCCAAGCTGAAATCCCCATCCCTTTTTGTGCACCTTCGACGTGTCGTCCCCAGCACGGGTATCCCGGAAACGAAAAATGACGATGCCTTCTTTTTTGTTTATTTTTAAACCACCCTCTTGACCTCGAAGAATCTGCGAAGCCACCACACCTGGAAGACGGACTCTCCGACGACGAGGCCAATGACGAACAAGTTCCACCACTTGACTCTGCTGTTGGTGCTCTCGGCGGTATTACGATGAGTGCGCTCGCGAAGGACAATATAGGACTGCTCATCCTTGACCTGGGCGAGGAGCTCGGAAAGGTGACGGACTATAACGAAGTGTTAGGGAAAGTCCAGAATCCACTGATATCCCATTGTACTCGCTCCTTACCTTCAACTTCGAGGGGGTCGGCCGGGACGTCGGTCTCGCTGACATAGACAATGCCGTGGACGTTGAATGAGACCTCCTTGCTGTGGGCGCCCCAGTGCTCGTTTCCGAAGCAGTAGGTGTACTTGCCGTCGTGCTTCGCGTCGAAGGAGAAGTCGCCGTTGGAGACACTCTTGTCAAAGGTCTCGTACTGGCCCTGAGGGTTCGTAATCTGTGGGTGTGGAAAATCAACAGTCAGTCCTCGGTGCCTTCGTCATGATGCAATTGTGCGCAAAGTACGCGATTCGAAAGGGGTTTGGTGGGGGGTTTGGCTGGAGCTAGAATCATACCCAGAAGTCAATGTCCAGGTTGCCAGCGCTGCCAAACTCGCGGTCGCCGACTTGGAAGGTAACAGTCATCTTGTCATCGCGGTGCAGCGACTCGTGGAAGCACTCGCGGCCGTGGGCGGGCAGCTGGATGTTGTGGGCCAGGGCCGAGTGGACGAAGCCAGCTGCGAGGAGCAGCTTGGCGACTGAAGGGAAGAACATGGCGGGAGCTTCTTATTATTTTTCTTCACTTTGGAAGGGTGTAAGAGCTCTCTCTGTCGTGGCCGATAAGAAAGTCGAAAAAGACACAGACGTCAGACTCAGCTGGTCGGCAGGCGCAGCAGAGTCGAGCTTCTCTGATATCGATTGAGGTCAGGGCCGGGGAAAAAAGGAGCGACGTTGGCTTGTGTCCAGGCTGTTCTCCAGATCGGTTCCTGGAGGTGATCCCTGTACCTTGAGTCTGGACACTTTGGCGACGTCTGGTTGGACTTTGAGGCTGAGCCGAAAGAAGTCTAGCTCGGGGGGGGGGGGGGGGGGGGGGGGGGGGCAGACGTGATGGACCGATGCTTTTCCGACTTCGTTTCTCGCGGTACATGGAAGCCGATCCCTGCACGTGATGCGGGTACTTTGTGCTTCAGAAGGGCTCTTTTAGCGGTTGACAACGCTGGAAGGGGGTGGCCAACATGGAGGGACAGGTAGCTTCAAGTGTCTCCATGGCCCGTGCCCAGCTTGACTTGGGCCCTCAGCACGCAACCTAAGGTACCTTTATGAACATGACAGCGTGGGTGGTTTTAGGAATCCCAAGGGCAGGTATCGCCAGACAGCAGCTTGCTAGGGAAGGTACCTCGGCGGGCCACAGGGTGGCGTCCGTTTGTAGTGGTGGTCGAGTAGAAAGTGGGGACACAGAGTTTGAAAAACATGGCCTTTCTGAAAATCACCACCAACCTCGCCGAGCCGAAGATTATCTTAGCAAAGCCCACCCCCTCTGCTCGCCTCTATTCCACCTACCTAAACTAATCCTCTTGACACTTGGACTGTCTCCCCCCCCTTCACCGACAATCACACCCACGACCAAAAAAAACCACCACCACCACTCGTCTCCAGTTTCCCGTCGTAGAGGGACGTCGTGAAGAAAGTAAGTCACTACTCTACTATTTGCCATCACCTGTTTTTGTTTCGACTCCGTCCCTTTCTTTTCAGCCTCTGTGTCATCTTCCGTCGGGTCTCCATCCCCTCAGTCCCCTTTCCCACCCCCTCGGCCAAAGTTGCTCTTGCGCGCGTGCCTGCATCGGTCTGGTCTGGACACGACACCTCAGGATACAGTAGAAAGGCAGAGCAGCCCACCACACGCCCCCCAACCCAATCCAATATCCCTATCCCTCCCTCCCTCCACGTCGCCTGTCCACATCCACTTCTTCTATCCCGCTATCTCCTCTCCTCCATTTGCGAATTGCGGCAGCCTGGTTCTCAACTTCAACCTTGACCAGATCATCATCGCAACACCTTGCCTTCGCTCAGCGCCCAGGCAGACTTTGGTCAGTGACCCGATCCTGCCCGCCTCCGTTACGATCTGTCCTTTCGGGGTCTTCTCTACTTTGCTTTATATCCCGCCCGCATCTCCTCTCGACGTCACTACCATTTAATTTAATTTCATCAATTGCGCGCTTGCTTACACTGTCGCTCCTCAACAGATTACTTCTTCCTACCCAACGCAACCGACACTTAGACGTTCATCACAGCCCGAACCGCAACCATGGGTCTCGCATTTTCCAAGATCTTCGACAAGCTTTGGGGAAAGAAGGAGATGAGAATTCTGATGGTCGGTCTTGACGCCGCCGGAAAGACTACCATTCTCTACAAGCTCAAGCTCGGTGAAATCGTCACGACCATTCCCACCATTGGTACGCACCGCCCCTTAACACCTTAATCAGCGTCGTGTCGTGTCATCATCGAATCTCGCACCCCCGCTGTCGATAGGCCAATGCATCGAGGAGGCGAATGGCGTGCTAACATCGGATCTCCTTCCAGGTTTCAACGTCGAGACTGTCGAGTACAAGAACATTCAGTTCACCGTGTGGGATGTCGGTGGTCAGGACAAGATTCGTCCTCTGTGGAGACATTACTTCCAGAACACCCAGGGTATCATCTTCGTCGTCGACAGCAACGATCGCGACCGTATCGTCGAGGCCCGTGAGGAGCTCCAGCGCATGCTCAACGAGGATGAGCTGCGCGATGCCATTCTCCTGGTCTTCGCCAACAAGCAGGATTTGCCTGTATGTTACCCCGCCATCCCCCCCTCCCCCTCCCTCGGCGCTATTTGACGCTTCATCAGTTTGAAGCATGCGACTGACCTTTTCTTCCACAGAACGCCATGAACGCCGCCGAGATCACAGACAAGCTTGGCCTCCACTCCCTGAGACAACGCGCCTGGGTATGTTTTCCCTCGAGCAAGACGAAATGCGATTTCCATACTGATTCCTCCAATAGTACATCCAGTCCACCTGCGCCACCTCCGGTGATGGTCTCTACGAGGGTCTCGAGTGGCTTGCCACCACCCTGCGCAAGGCGGGTCACCAGTAAATGCCGCGAAGAGAAGCCGAACGGACTACCTCTCTTCTGCTACTCTTTCACGTCATCCCTCTGGTACGGTTGTAATTCGCAAAGCTACCGGTCACAAGGCAATCGAATAGTCCATAACTCATTTTTCGCATTTTCTCGTCTATCCATCCCCTTCTCCCCATGGTGGTCCCTGACATCACGTGAGCCACACACCATTGGCATTCTCTCGACGCAGCAAGCACACACATTCTGGTCTCAAAAGGACAAGTTTCGTTTTGGAAGAAAGGGGGCGTCTTGGGTTGGGAAATCTGTACAGTCCTCACGCAGCAACTCTATACGTTTCTCCGTCTAAATGTGACGGAGAAGCATACTCATGAACACCCTGGCTTTCTCGCCTCCGCGCAATTCCATGAATACGGTGTTTTCTGCTCTTTTGGTGGTCTGGTTTGCCTACCATGCTCGGTAGGGGAAGGGATGAGACATGGGCTTAACGATTTTCTTCACGACTGGTTAGTCCCCCTATGAGGGGTGGTTCGCCCTGCTTTCCTCCAGTTTGTCGTCTTTGTTGTTAGGTATGGAGGGGGTTCCAGGTAGTTCTAGCCTTGAGAGTTGGGACAGAATCGTTATAGACTTGTCTTCCTTTTTTTCTCACAAAAGTTTTACGTTGCCACGGGATGTTCGATGACCTTTTTTTCTTTTGTTCCTAACCGGCCGTCCCAACCCCTCCATTCCTTTACAGGCCCCTTTGTGAAATGTCTCACGGCATCCTCAGCCCCAAAATCTTAGCCCCCTCTTGAAGCGTGCGGTTCAACCGCTATACGACCGCAGAGCCCCTTTGTGGAATGCTGTCTTGGACGCGTGGTTGTGGGTACTCGACGTCACAGGGATGGGATGGAGGCAGATGCGACTCAAGAGGACAAATGGCTACTCGTGAAAGGTGGGTGTAAGTGTACAGGCTCACTAGGTGATTACGATCGAAATGAGCTTTGTCGGTGGGAGAGAATACATGAGAGACTATAACATGAGTGAGTATAATATATAAGTAACTACGGTCTATTTCTTGTTTTACAGCTTTACAGAGCCATTTGACAATGCTACAGGTGCTACTTGACAAACACTTTCATGAGAGGGGAATCCAGCCTTTTTCATCCATGTACTCCGTGCTCCTAAACAATGACTCAAAACAACTAGTCGTACATGTCGTGATTAGAATGGGGGGTTTTTTATGCCTTTGGCTGAGCCGCAACCTCGAGGCCCGAATTGTCCTCCTTGATGCTAACCACAGCCGTCTCGCCAGAGCGCAACTCGCCGCGGATGATCTTGTCCGCGAGCCCATTGCCAATCTCGTTGGTGATGAGGCGATTGAGCGGTCTCGCGCCAAACTTGGGGTCGTAGCCGCGCTCCGCGAGCCAGTCGCGCACCTCGCTACCGACATCGAGGATGATGCGCTTGTCGTCAAGACGCTGCTGCAGCTCGCGCAGGCGGATGTCGACAATGTCTCGAAGGGCGGCGAGGGCGAGGCGCTTGAAGACGATGAAGGAGTCGATGCGGTTGAGGAACTCTGGCGGGTAGTTTGCGGCGACGACGTCCATGACGGCCTTGCGAACGGAAGGGTCAATCTCGCCGTCGGGCGTCTCCTTGTACGTGTGGATGGGGTCTGCGCCAACGAGGATGTCTGCGCCGAGGTTGGACGTCAGCACGATGATGGTGTTGCGGAAGTCGACCTTGTGACCCTGTGCGTCGGTGAGGTAGCCCTCGTCGAGGACTTGGAGGAGGAGGGCTGAGATATCGCGGTGGGCCTTTTCGAACTCGTCAAAGAGGAGGACGGCGTACGGCTTGCGGCGGACGGCCTCGGTGAGCTGGCCGGCGTCTTCGTAGCCCACGTAGCCGGAGGGCGCTCCGATGAGGCGGGAGATGGTGTGCTTCTCCTGGAACTCACTCATGTCGAAGCGGACGACGGCCGACTCGGTGGAGAAGAGGAAGCCCGCGAGCTTCTTACAGAGCTCCGTCTTTCCGACACCGGTCGGTCCGAGGAAGAAGAAGGACGCGAGCGGTCTGTTCTCGCCGCTGAGACCGGCACGTTGTAGGCGCACGGCGTTGGAGACAGCCTTGATTGCCTCGTCTTGGCCGCGGACTGCCTCCCGCAGAGAGTCTTCCATGTGCACGAGCTTCTCAATGTGGCCGGAGGTGAGCTTGGAAATGGGAATGCCGGTCACCTTTGAGACGACTGCTGCGATGTCATCCGCAGTGACAGCATCGTGAACGAGGCTACCGTCTGACTTTTCGCCGTCCTTGGGAATCTTTTGTTCCAAGGCGGGTATGACGCTGTACCTCAACTCAGAGGCGCGGCCGAAGTTTCCTTCCCTCTGTGCCTGGTCCAGCTCGATCCTGGCCTTATCAAGGTCCTCTTGAGTCTTCTTGACGGCCTCTATCTCGCCGCGTTCCGCTTCCCAGCGCTTGGTAAGCTCGGCGATCTCCTCTTCATACTTCTTCAGTTCCGTCTGCAGCTTCTCGCGACGCTCTTGGCTGGCTACGTCCTTTTCCTTGCGCAAGCTTTCAAGTTCGATTTGAATGGTCATGATCTTCTGGTCGAGGGCCATTATATCTTCAGGTTTCGATTCGTGCTCGAGCTTGAGATGACTGGCGGCCTCGTCCATCAGGTCAATTGCCTTGTCAGGCAAGAATCGGTCAGTGATGTAGCGGTTAGAATATGTAGCGGCTGCCACTAGGGCACCGTCGGTGATGCGGACACCGTGGTGGACTTCGTACTTGTCTTTGATGCCGCGCAGGATGCTGACTGTGTCCTGGACGGTGGGTTCGTTGACGATGATGGGTTGGAATCTCCGGGCAAGGGCAACATCCTTTTCGATGAGGCGGTACTCCTCCAACGTGGTGGCACCACAGCACTGGAGCTCACCACGCGCAAGTGCTGGCTTCAGCAAGTTGCTCGCATCGATCGATCCTTCGGCCTTGCCGAGGCCAAGCAACGTGTGCAGCTCATCGATGAAGAGGATGACTTCGCCCTCTGCCTGCTGGACCTCGGTCAAGACCTTTTTCAGTCTCTCCTCAAAGTCTCCCCTGAACTTCGCGCCCGCAATCAGCGAGCCCAGATCTAGGGCAATGACACGCTTGTTCTTGATGCTCTCAGGGACGTCGCCACGTACGATTCTCAGTGCAAGGCCTTCGAGGATAGCTGTCTTGCCGGTGCCGGCTTTTCCAATCACGACGGGATTGTTCTTGGTCCGCCGTGATAGAATCTGGATCGTTCGTTGGATTTCAGCGTCACGCCCAATGACTGGGTCAAGTTTTCCACCCTTGGCCTTGGCTGTGAGGTCGATTCCGAATTGTTCGAGTGCCGGTTTCTCTGGCTCGCCACCCATGTTCATGCGGTGTGTACCGCCTGGGGGGTGAGGTCTTCCATTTGCATAATTCCTGATGGCTATCGTTGGTAAAAGCCTGCTACTGCTTCTGAGTGCGGCAGATTCGTTGATGATGGCTCTTGAGATTAGTCGTGTAGGTCTCGGTGACGATGACCCGACAATGTGCCGGGCTGATGAGATGAGTTGTCTTCTGGCTTGCATTGTGTCTGCTGGTCAATGCCAGGTGTTGCAAAAGGGCGTCTCAATATGAAACTGTCACACCAGATGGAAGAAAGACAGGTACACGGCCTCAAATGTCCTTTCAGCAAACCCCCTAGTGTTGTCAAGTCACGAACTCGGAAGATTTCATGAGTACATTCTCGCACTTTCGGTGAGGTCTAGCATGTTCCGAAGCTTTATCTTATCAGCACGTGGTCAATGCGTATGACGAAATGCAACTACCGCCAGCGCTGTGTTGCCCTTTTCACACGTAGTCTATCGAGTACGAATATATTCATTGTGTATTCAAGAATGAGGTCTTCAGGGTCGAGGAAACACCGAATTGATAATATTGGGAGAGTAGAACGATTTTCAAAAGACAAAGCAATTATCCGAGCACCCAGGGATTAGCAGAACTGCGAGCTGCTGCTGCCTTGAGTTTGCTGACGTCCAGTGACATCCGACTGCGGCCCTGAGCTGGGAATGACAGACCGATCAGTGGGTCCTTGGGGGTCTGGCCCCGGAAAATCGGGCGCACAATCTCCCGTTAGAAATTGTCGGTATGGGAAGGGGCCCTGGCTCACCGCCCGCGCCTGCAGAGGGTGCAGAGGTTTCTGCCGCATGCACCCTGCCTAATACGGACTAGCGGAGGGCTTGCCTTCCACACCCGCCGCCCACACTCGCTAGACATTTTCTGAGAAATCGATTTCCCGCCGACCCGACCCCAACAACCAAAGCCTCTCGAACGAGATCAACCACTTCCTTCTTTTTCGTTCACGATCCCCATTCTCCGCTAACCACAACAGCCCTCCACGAGGACCGAGAGCAACCATGTCGGCGAAGACGGAATCCACGACCAAGAAGTTCGGCTCGTCGACTCGGGTCGTCCCCGCCCCCTCCCAGAAGGCGCAGAAGTGGTACAACGCCGACGATGAGCCCGAGGCCAAGAAGGTGAGTTTACTACATCTGCGTGCTGGCGTTGTTTTGGAATTTTGCGCATTTGCGATGGGACGAGGGAATGTCATTTCGAGCGGTCACGAGTCGGTCATGGGATATAACTGGGAGGACACGACAAGGCGATCGCAACATTTTTTCTCGAATTACGACGCAAAAATCCAAGAGCCCCAAGGTCGGAGAGCCAAGAGAAACCACGAAGGAAACAACAGACCAATAATGGGCCACCATTCGCAATCCGACAAACGCACACAAAATGATTCGGAGTGATGGAGGAGGAAGACGCTCGTGATCTACGGAATGACATATCTCCCTTTTTCACAAATGCCGAATTTCAAGCAACACGCACAAAAAATCATGAATTGGGCGACAGCGATACTGACGACGATTGTCACTAGGTCCGCAAGGCCGTCCGCCCCTGGGCTCCCCGCCAGACCCTCCAGCCCGGTACCATCCTGATCCTCCTCGCCGGCCGCTTCCGCGGCAAGCGCGTCGTTCTCCTGAAGACCCTCGACCAGGGTGTCCTTCTCGTTACCGGCCCCTTCAAGATCAACGGCGTTCCCCTCCGCCGCGTTAACTCCCGCTACGTCATCGCCACATCCCAGAAGGTCGACGTCTCCGGCGTTGAGTCCAAGAAGATTGAGGAGATCTCCGCACCCAAGTACTTCACCGCCGACAAGGCCAAGAAGCAGACTGGCGAGGACGCTTTCTTCAAGCAGGGAGAGAAGCCCCAGGTACGATTATACATTCTCTGGAAAGACCCAGATTCAGATTGGACACAAGAGGATGGGAGACTGACAGCAAATGTGTGACTACAGAAGAAGGAGATCAACAGCAGCCGTGCCGCCGACCAGAAGGCCGTCGACAAGGCCCTGCTCGCCAACATCAAGAAGGTCGACATGCTCGCTTCCTACCTGGCGAGTTCCTTCAGCCTGCGCAAGGGCGACAAGCCCCACGAGATGACCTGGTAAACAGTTTTTTTCACCAAAAGCTGTTGAGAGGGAGGTTTCGTTTGGCGTGTGGGCTTTTCGGGGGTTTGCTCTCTTCGTCGCTGGTCGTTTCAAAAAATCAAGGCTTCCGGATGATGTGGACGTAGAGACCCGTGGAAAAAGGCAGGGGCAAAGTCAATTGGGATTCAAAAAAAGAAGAACCACACATTTTTTTCGCCCAGTTCGCAACGGTTGAGGAATGATGTTGTTGTAGACGACGGAAGATCTTATGGCTACACGGGCTGGGCTGGTTTTGCCAATTGCATTTGGAAGTCGACGGCATCGGTCACATTTGGCGTCTGTAATGAGGTTCTTCACAAATCCAACACACAAAGAAGATAACGCATCCGGTCCAACGACGACGTGCCTCCCCCCTTACGAGGGAATGACAATATTGACATAAACCATGAACAAAACTTTCTTGACTTGTGACGACTGAAGTAAAAGATGTCGAGACTTGAAGAAACAGATTTCGGGAAAGAGTTCGAGATGTTCAGACATGTACGCACTAGGCTTCACAAAGTACGGATCGTCTCTGAAACTTGAATGTTTTGGCCCCTTTTAGTTAGGAGCATGGTATTACAAGGTTTATTATGGTTGATGTAGGACCCCCTTTTTATCTCTTCACGGCCAGGCTCTTTACAGTTTGGCAGTCTCGGACTTTCGGCTCAGTCACAAGTCACGGTCGACCCAGCTTTGGATGATACCTGCCGGGGATGCCTCGTAGTGCTTGACGCTGACCTTGCCGGTGGCCTCGTCGAGGTAGGTGTTGGCCTGAACGAAGACCTTGCGGGGCTGCTTGTTGGCCAGGACGACGTTTCTGGCCTTGGTACCCCAGAAGTCCATGTCGACGTTGGTCATCTCCTTGTAGAAGGCGGTGCCGTTCTCGACGTCGGCAGTGGCCTTGTACACGTGAAGCTTTTGGAGGTACTTTCCAACGGCTGTGGATATTAGTCAGCATTGATCTATTTCAAAGTGCGCGTCAGGAGATTTGGGATAACTTACCGTCGCGACCAGTGGTCAGAATCTTTGAACGGTCAAGCTTGATCTCCAAGTCGGACAGATCATCCTTCTTGTACTCCAGCTTGCAGAAGTCATCGCCAGCCTGGAGGAAGCACTGTAAAGAGTGGTAGTTAGCATTCGGGCGTTCATACGCGTACGTCATTGTCACCAACCTGGAGGATAGAGAAGCGAGCCTGCGAATGCGCTTGGCCCCACTTTTGGCTCTTAGGATCCCACATCTCCAAGGACACGAGACCGGCGCGAGCCATCTGGAGGTAAGCAGCATACAGGACGTTGCCGGCCTCGTTGTTGATATCGGTGCTTCCGTCGCCGAAACCGAAGATCTTGAGAACAGGGAATTCGCATCTAAGTCCAGATTAGCCAGAGATTTCTGTATAGGCAGTCGAAAGATGCATACCCAAGGTACATGGCGACAAGCTCAGCACGGCACTCCTCGTAAGAGGCAGCAAGACTGCCGAATACAGATCCCCACGTCTGTCCAGGCTTGTACCATGTGGTCACTGGCTTGTTGGTCAGAGGGCTGACAGGCGGGTTCTTGTCATCAAAGTTGTAGGTTCCGGGAGAAGTCTCCTGAAGAAGCTTTCCGCAGCCGTGACCAGTCAACTCGTGAAGACCAACCTGCACCTCAAAAGCAGGGTCCCTGTACTTGTGGTACAACTCCAGGTCAGCGTCGGAGATGAAGGGGATCTTCTCATTGGGAGCCTTGGCGCTGAGGACGTTGCCAAGAGAAACGTTCTTGAAGCCCTCAGTCTGCCTAATATCATCGTAGTTGGGAATGTTGATTCCAGCAGGAATACCAGATCCGGCAAAGGTCAGAACCTCGAGTGATGTGAAGTCAGGCGACAGGAACTTGTCCTTTTCGAAGTCTTTACTCCACGGGAGGAGGGGAATCAATTCGGGCGCAGCGGAGACGAGAGCGCCGAAAGCACGGGTACGCTCGAGGTTGACCACAGACGCAAAGCCTTCCCACTCGCCGCGAATTCCAGCGGGGTCTCTGTAGGTCTCGATGAAACCAATGTTGGACTCAACCATGGGGCCCTTGTCTCTGATCCAGAATCTCTGGCTGTCCTTGAACGCGAGGAGAGAGCCAGACGAGAAAGACTTTGCGTAGGCCTCGTGCATCTTTGCTTGGTTCTCGTTGTCGCTGTTCTCCTGCGCCTTCGTGATGTACTCGGAAATGGCCTTCATCTCTGCAGCATAGTCTCCATATACCAGCTTGATCGTCTTGCCCTTGAGAAGGCCATCCTCAACCTGGAACTCGGTCTCTTTACCGATGTCACCACCTTCAGCGGGAACACTCGTAACGGCTGAGGCAATGAGAATCTCGAAAATGCCCTCCTTGGTCTTGCGGAGACGATTGTTCTCGGGGAGAAGGCCCTTCTTCTCCATCCATGCGGACACGGCCTCGATCTCCTCTTGAGTAATGTGAGGGGAGTCGGGGTAGTAGGTAGTCATGTGACCCTTGTCAGGGAATCCGAGGTGCATCAGTGCCTGCTTGTCAGAGCTGAAGATAGCACCGTTGGTCGCCTTGTAAAAACGCTCAGCTTCAGGAGAGGTGGCAGCGAGAGCAGCGAAAGTCTTCTCATCGGCTCTAGGGATGAACTTGGCGTCGCCGAAGCTCTTGTAGTTGCCATTGTTGCCCAGGAATTGGGCAGCATACTCCAGGAAGTGGGTCAATTGGCTCTCGTCGATACCAGCCTTCTTAGCAAGGCTGTTCCAGTCACCACCACTGCTCTTGTGTAAGGCAATGATGAAGTCGTAGATGGGCTCTGACTCTGGGGAAAGTTGTCTGAGCACAATACGGGTTCCTGCAAACGAGGCTCTAGCATATCTCTTAGCTTCTGATCCCCCATAAAAGCTTGGCATGGCGGGCACCAAGATGATATGACATTATGATGGGTTTCTTACTTGCTGATGAAATGCGCATAGCGCTTCTGCTTGTCGGTGAGGGGTTCAAAGTGCTTCTCAATCTCCAAACGGACGACGCTCGGCGGCGCGTCAGCCAGGTAGTGCTTGAGCTCCTGAGCGTTCATTGTGGAAAATCTCTGCCGGCAGGGTTTCGCAAGCAAGGGGAAGTGATTTCTAGGCCTCAAAGTCTTGGGAGAAGTGTGAATTAAGGAAGAAGAAGCTCGCAAAGATGTCAGCCTTTGGAGGGCGGAAATGGATGAAACCCGCATGAGGAGTCGAGATGGTGCCGCACTGGTCATTGGTCACTGATGAGGCAGGTGCAGTGGATGAGCAGACGACAACTGTGTTCAGGCGCCGCCAGCAGCGGGGAAGAGCCACACAAGCCGTAGACGAAGGTCGATTATTTGAACAGGGAAAGAGGCCATCTACGCACAGGCCGCAAGCAGGTTAACTGTGGCGCTCCGTGGCTGGAATCTCATTTGACTGCGGCGATTGGCTATCTTGTTATAAGCCACTCCTGCTGTCTATAAGGCCTGTGAAAATAGTTCCCCAGTCTGTAGATAATCTCAAAAGTCTTGGGCATTATTTTCACCTCCCCAAACAGGCTTGGAGGCAGACGACGACGTTGGAGCTTCAGCCACAATGAGGGGCAATACTGGTACTTTTGTCGACGAAGCAACTGATTTATTTACAAAACTACAACCAATAGAGAAGGAGGGGCAAGCAAGGCAAGAAATCAGAAGTTATTCCCACAGAATATTCCACTACACCTGAAGACATGATTTGCTGTGATTTCAGTTCGAGTTTCCAACCTCACAAACCTCTGGGGTAGCGCCTGTTCATAACAGAGAGCCCGGCTGGTCGCGGTTAGCGTTGGCTTATAAATGCGACTGGCATCCATATGAAGCTCCGCTAGGAGCAAATCGCCAACTCGAAGTCGGTCCCAATACCAACATTTTTGGTTGGCTGATTGCAAAATGATGGAGTCCCATTTTCCGAGAGACGCCTGGCAGTCTGTCGTTGAGCCACGATAGTTACAAAGGGATGTTCCCAGAAGACAAGCGCAGCAGCTGACCCGCTTGCTTGCCAACCCTACTTACCTTTTGCCTCGCATCTGACAACTTATGAGCTGTCACAAAAATATCGCTGGTTGGGAGCGCATGTCCAAGAAAGCAACCGATTGGGCTTATAGGAAGACGCGCAACCATTGTTCGCAAAGAACAGTCCTCTTGTAGCTCAAATGGACAACTTACCATGCCTTACTACAATAGCTGGAGGGGTGGTCAGTTAGTCATGGTATATGTGACCTGCCTGATAGACCACCAACGACCTGGTTCATTACTGATGGAGCAATGCCGACTCCTCCCGTATACTGTTCTGCTCACCGAGAGGATCCGGCTCACAGTCTACACCTGAGCCTAACATCTGCAGATCGTGCCTGTCAATTGTAATGTCGTTGCATGCATGCTATAAGAGCCAATGGAACACTTCACGTGATCTCCTTGCTCGTGCATGAGCAGGCAGGCAGCATTGGCAAGCTGCAATGAGCACGTCCTAATGGTTGCTTACGCTTCGTTCAAAACTTGGTTCTCGCCATCATATCTGACATAAATCATCATGTCTTCGCTCAACCATGGTCATCCTTTATGTGTTCCTGTCAAGCTGTGCAAGCGAGACCCCTGAGGGTGTAGCACGAGCGGCTTTGAGAGGGTAGCATTGAGTGATGGCGCCGCCACGCCGCTTATTGTTCATCCCTCTACCACAACGTGGGCAAGGATCTTGAACGGCCGGACGGAATGTTGCAGGAAGCGCAATATGAAGCCGTCGTCGCATAGGCTGATGGACAAGTTGTTCGAGTTCCTCCTATCTAGAACGTAGCATTCGGTAAACCAAGCCACCAATGTCAAAGTTGCAAACGCAGTGTGAGCATAGCGACCTTTGACGTGTCCTGAAGCTCGCGGCCGAGATGCATGCTACTCTCATAGGTACCGGTACACAAGGTACCTGAAGCAGGCATTGGTGGAGGATTGAACATGTCTTTAGGGCGATCATGACAGGCAAATAGGCAACGTCTTTGATCAGGCGTCCCAGTGGCCCTGCTGTGCAACCAGTCGTTCAAATTCGCAACACGTTTCTGTCGAGATTCGCAAGGATGTCGCCAACGTTGCGTCTGCTGTGCGACGGATGTGGGCGGATCCATAGAGGGAAGAAGCGTGTCGACTCGGCCGGGAGGAGGAGCCGACTGGCGCTGCGCACCACTTCGAATTGCGCCGAGTTCTCGACCGGGGAAGTGAGGAGAGATCCCGGGGATTCCGAGTGTTCGGACCATTTGCCTTGGCGTCTCGGAGCGAGCAATGCTGCAAGTAGTTTAAGCGCCCTTGAAACCGACCACGGTGACATGGATGCTCAGACCGAGGGCGGTCGCCGGGGAACATCAACCGTGCCGCCGTGGCTTGGGCAAGGAGTGGTATTCGAGTTTCACTCCTCTTCTCGCAGTTGCTTCAGTGCCCATGAGGATAGTCGTGCTTGCGGTGTGTGGCATCAGGAATCTTGCGCGCATTGCATTTATCCCTCGTTCAGGCTCCGTCGGGAGCGGTCTGCCTGACTTACAATGCCTTGCATGAGCCTGTATCCTGCGCAACGACGATACAAGATCGGTGAGCGCGCTCGTTGCCTCTCTGCATCACGGGTTGAAAAATAATCGAGGGGTTGCCGCAGCCTATTGTGAGCTGGATTTGACTGAAGGTGGTGCCCGAGGATCATACTGGTACTCGATTAATTGCAAACAGCCATGAGAAGGAAGTTAGACGAGGACGAACTGGGCAATGAGTGTTTTACATCAGTAGCCCATCTTCTCAAATATGAGGACATGGGTTGGCCAACTTCGTAATCGAACCATGATGACTGTGTCCAGAGACTCCAGACAGTTGCAAGAATCGCCGGGTCCTTCTCATCCCTTGTCAGAAAACTATGGCGTTGTGGGGTTTGACTTTAAGCAGGTGTCACGAAACTTGCAACCGATTCCCCGCAACAGATGAGATGGACGGGGGCCATACGGATACCGCCCGGCCATTGAGCGGCTGTGATGGCAACGGTGTGAGCCTATTTGGTGTAACGTCCACAATATGCTTTCTTGCCAGAGTTGAGGTCAAAAGCCGAGCCGATGCTGGATAGAGACAGACGTTTCCGATGCATCTATTGCAGTCGCGGCGCAATTTTAACAAACTGCATACTCCACCGAGAGATAAGTCAGCTGGCTCATGATGAGAGCGGTGAGAGAGGCCGATGAGCCGATGTCAGCGGTACCAATTCGTATCTGTACTTGTGGACAAAAATACGCACGTATTTACGTAGTGTGCTCCGTATGTCGAGACTTTAAGAAAAAAAGAATTGTGGAAAGGGCCCATCCTTGTCCGCTCGCGTGTCGCATCCTCTGACCGTTGGGTTGGGTTCAGTGTTGGGGAAGCTGGCGGGGAGTTGCTTGGAGTGGTGGTCGGTCCACTTGGGCTTGGAGAAGGCGGTCGAAGACTGGTGAGAAATTTGGAGACTTGTTGGAGCAACGAAAAAGAAAGCGGGCAAAATAGGATTGGCAGGACAGCAACAGCAGGACGAGCACACGAGCTGGCTGCTGGTAATGCACCACGGCTGGTTGCAGCAAGACCAGGACCAGGGCCTAGCGGAGTCTTGCGGAGGGAACTGGAGCCCTGAACAGCGTGGGCTGTGTGGAAAAAGAGTGGACGCAGAGGTAGAGCGCCGATGGTGGAGGGATAGAGGAGCGCAAAAGAGAGTCTCAGGATGATAGGACGCAATCCGAATGGCTGGAAAGGAGTCAGTGTGATAAAGGGAGGGGAAACTGTGTTCAGACTCCAGACTTCAAACCACAAATTCCCAAGCCGATGGGCCAAGGATTCGAGCTGTCGTGTGTGAAGTGGTGACAGTAGTGCGCCCGGGCACTGGTGACTGAGGAGGTGCCGGCCCGTTGTGAGCCCCGCCCGGAAGTCCAGCCGAGCCGAAAGACGAAAGAGCAGACGGGACGCCAGAGTCAGAGCATCTGCAAACTGCACCTCATGGCTCATGGTAGATGACGGGATTTTTAAGGCGACGGGGGCAGAGACTGGGCTGGCACGGCTGGGAAGTTTAGATGCAGGTGCATTGGCGTGTTGGAGTCCTAGAGCCGACGTACTGCCGTCTCGCAATGTTATCTGAGTGGACGGAGGAGTTAACCCTGGTGGACACTCCCTAGGGTCGCAAAGTGTCAGCCCGGCTTTCCCCCGTTTGGTTGTTCTTTCTATCCGTAAGGTGATGTTGTTCACGTGCATTTGGAAAAGAAAAGGCAAGAGCCATGAAGTGGGAGCAAGTACGTTGGTCCAGTGCTCTCCGTACCAGGTATTCGTAGCTGCCCATGTTGAGGTACTCCGTACTCCGTACCAAAGGTATGATGTAATCCTAGCTTCTCGGTGCTTGCCCGAGGCCCAAAAACACTTTATTGCACTTTCCCCCGTCCATCACCAGTCCCGGACGGGGACCGGGTCTGCTGACCAGGCTGGCCGGACGAGAACCGGACAAGTCATTGCACTTGTTCCCAAAGAAACAACGTGGAGTCACACGCAAGCATGCAGGTATCCGCAGGTCATTAACGATTAAGGTAGATACTAGGCGTTCCGAGCTACCGATCCCAATTACCGTCTCGGTCATGTTGAGAAAACCCGCATACTCAAAGTTATTTACCTTACCTGAGCTACTCACCGAATAAACCCCCACTGAGCAAGACAGTCCTAACTTCCAAACCTGAGAAACATAGATGTTCAGCTATGTTTGCTTGGACAAAAAGGTTATAGGTACTCATCTCTGGTCAAAGCTTGTCATTGCTGCCCGTCATCGGACACGTTCCCCCCACCGAGGCTGGAGATTTGGTCGAGGGCTTAGTAAGTTTTTTCTTTCTTTCTTTTTTTTTCCTTCTTTCTTTGCGTGTCGAGTGACCTCGCTCGTTTCGCTGGCCCCTGCCCAGTTCAGGAAATTATCTCCTAGTGTCATGTTCTAGAAAAAGTGTGTCCCCCCACGCTGCTTCCTCCACAGACCACACCTCGCCCATGGCACCCCCTCGTCCACCCACCACCCTGCCCGACCGCGCCCATCATTTCCCCCCTTCTTCTGCCCCCCGCCATTCAGGCCTCTCGAACCCTTTTCATCCTTAGCATCGTCATCTCCTTTGCCTCTGGCCAACTGGGGCCTTCCATCCTCCTTGACCGAGCCCCGTCCTCCGCCCTCCCCGGGACCCGCGACGCAAGTCCTGTCATCGCCGCCGGCTTTGCCTTTTCCCAGCATTACCCATTCGTGCACCTAACGCCACAACCTGCTCTATCCCCAGGTGCTAACAAACGGCACAATTATTTTAGGCATCGGTGCTTGCGGCTTGCCCTGGACAATCACTTTTCCTGGGACGCCTGACACTTTCATCCTGGTCGCGGGGTCCTCAAAACTCCTTGAGATGCCGTACGTACACCACGCACCATACTGCACCGCGCAGCCCAAAGTGGTCTCGTACTCCTAAGTGGTGCGAATACACTAGAAACACACAGTGGGATTCGCGAACCGGACACAGAAATAAACTGCCTCTTTGTGGCCCTTGATGGCTGCCGCTGTTGTCTACCTCACCATTCCGCCATCACAGTACAGACATAGTACCTAGCGAGGTTCGAAAGCCATCAGACTTATTCATGGCAAGAGTACGGAGTAGGCAATACACGATAGCCTAGGGGACAATCTCGGAGGGCCGGCCTGAGGTCGTCCACTACCTTACCTCGTAGCAGTACGGCAACTACCAAAGATGATCCCAATCAATGATTACGCGCCATCGCTAGGTGCTCAGTCTCAAAAGCCAGAAACCCGACAACTGAATGCAGTTACCCGTCGCAAACTCTCTTACGCCAATAGCCAGCTGTTGTTACTCGACGACGGATTCCTTTCGTCCAACGATTTGCTCTTTCCCCTCCATCAGGCTGCAACTTTGATTTCGTTCCATTCGTCCCACGTCTGCCCCAGATGCGACCTCCTTGGCTTTTGGATCCCGCGGAGAAAAAGTACAAGGCGAACGTATCCGTACTTGGAGAAAGTAGTCAAGAACATAGGACGCAAGCACACGGTCATCTCTGTTCGCACCCCCACGGATATGGGCTTCCATTGACCACCCTCCCCCAGTACTTTGTGGAGTAACGGATTTCTCCCCGCTGGGGTATGCAGCACCTTCATTGGTCACCATGACGACTAGGGGACGCCGCTCTTTGGGATCCGGGTCAGTGACACCCCCCTGGTCCCTCTCTACCCCTGGCCCGAGAGATGTCCGCTGAAGTCCAGGTACTGGAACCTGCTGTGCGCTCCCCCCAGGGCGTTTTAGTTGCCGTCAGGGCACCCCTTGAGTCCCGTTGGAATTTTTTACCTCATCGATCCCCCAGACCCAGAGAAGTCTCGTCCGTGTCACTTATAAGACAGGAACGCCCTGCACTTACACTCCCAACTCCGTTTCCTCGTCCTGCCTCTGAACTGTTCTCATACTCGCAAAAAAAAACCTTACATGTATAACTATACACCATCGCTCGAACTTCCTCAATATCCTACATCCACCTCCTAGACTGTGTTGAAGACCTGATCTAGCATCCACACGCTTCGACCTGTTCAACTCCGGATAACGCAACAGCGTCATAACCTACTCTCCTCGAAATAAGATATCCGTGACCCGTTCCTATATACGGATCTTCACAAAACAATGCTTTCCTACGACTCCCCGATGCCTGTCAGTGGACAAACTCCCAAGTCGCCTTCGGGGCTTACCAACGGCGTACAACAAGCCGTTGCGTCCAAGACCCAGCCTAGAGTACCCGGGGTTCCGACCTCCGCAAACAATGGCGCACACGTCAACGGATCTCTCGACACCAAGTACCACCACATCTGGTTAGTTACTGGTCCTGCTGGCTGTGGCAAGACGACTGTTGCCGAGTACCTCGCTCAAGCTCTGAAGCTGCCCTACATTGAGGGTGACAGTGTAAGTGGTGCTTTCCGCCTCGTATTTCGGAGTCCTGTCTGACTCGCGCGTGAAAAAGTTCCACCCTCAAGCGAATATCGAAAAGATGGCAAACGGCATTCCTCTTACCGACGCCGACCGTTGGGACTGGCTTGTTGCCCTGCGCGAAGAGTCCCGCCACCAGCTGGCTGCGGGCTCCGACGGAGTCGTCCTCACTTGCTCGGCCCTGAAGCGTAAGTACAGAGACGTGATCCGCGTTGCTGGATACTACGACCGCTCGATCCTCATCCACTTCATCTACCTGTCAGCCTCCGAAAACGTCCTGGTCCAGCGTGTTACGGCTCGCAGCGCTGCCACCAACCACTACATGGGTGCCAATATGGTCCGCAGTCAGTTCCAGTCTCTTGAGGCCCCCATGGCCGACGAGACCGATGTCATCAGCCTCGATGTCAGCCGCTCCCTCGAAGAAGTCAAGCGCGACGCCTTGGCCAACGTCAAGGCCGCAATGGAAGAGGAGGCATGAGCTGTATACCGGCTATAGAAGGCGTACTGTTATTGGTCCTTTTTTGGCTGCTTCTTTTTGACAAATCATCCTGCGGGATATTGGAGTTCCGGGCATAGAAGTATGAGCGTTTACTTTTGGATATTCATGGCGTCAGCATTGGGATCTGGTTTACAAAACCGCTGGCTTTGACAGGTCAGCCTGCATGCAATGTACGGAGATGAAGGGGTGTCACGAGGATCTGCGCCACGAATGGCATCCTCTGCGTAGTCCAATCAGTAGGATGGAATTATGCAATGACGAGGGAGGAGGGACAACATATGGCAACCCGATATATCAAGGCCCGACAGGCTTAGGGCTGGTCATGGAGGCGACAACGGCGACTAGGAGCTGGTTTGGCGCTTGTTTCCTCACTCCATGCAGGGGTTTGCAAAATAGAGAATGCTCAATGGTCGGGCTCTAGCCGGGTAGATTATTGCGTTTTCTATCACTTGCAACTTCTCTTAGTTCAGTATATTATACAATGATAAAACTGATCAAATATGACCATTACTACCTTACATCTTCCCTCTCAACGCGCCCAATCTGCCCCCTCCCTTCCTACCCTCCTGTAGTGTACTTATGCGCAGGCAATCCTTGCGGCTTCTCGGAGTGGTGGGCAACCTGCCCGATCGAGGCACTTGCATCTGCTACGGAGCATAATCGTTCACGTTTGCCGTTCAGGGATTCTTCAGCATGAGCTGGTGTCAACTCGGTGAGGATGTGGAGAAGCGTTCGTCCATCGTGACTGGGCCGTCATATATGTCTTTGCGTACACCGAGGAGAGGGGGGGTGGTCTACGGGGAGGTTTTGGCCTGGGTGGGATGGAGGAGATGTTGGCTCTTTGGGCAGTGACCTGGTCCCCAATGTTGGTATTATTATCAATACCTTACCTTACTCCGTGTACATATCGCGCGGCTTTGAACACACGACGCATTCACGGTCGTACAATACGTACACTGCCTTACTTGGTGTCGGGTTGCACATACAGGAAAACGCTTGTCAGACATGCGTCGGGCAGCAGTACAATCCTGCAGATTGATGATGATCTTGTTTTGTTGAACTCTTGGATTTGATTTTCCCGCAAGCCATGTTTGGCATACCGATGAAGGTGGTCGCACCACCACTAAAAACCCCTGCTCGCCCTCATATCTACAAACCATTACTGTAGACGTCTACTTGTCAAGAGTCTTGTAAGTCATCCAACCCTCCGCCCACCCATCCTCGTTGTCGCACCCCCCGGCCTCTTACTCCGCATCACGCGGCGGCCGAACGGCGTCATCCATAAGGCGCCCTTACGGAGGGTACCTCTCTCTCTCTCTCTCTCTCTCTCTCTCTCTCTCTCTCACACACTCCCACTCGTTCAGGGGAAGTGAGCGGGCATCTTTTCAGTCCCAGAGTCATAGATACACCCAACCCAACACGCGCGCTTACTCCCTTTGCCCCCGATATTCCTTCCAGAACAAGTTTTCCCGCGCCGCTGCTCACCTCAAATGCATGACCATGACGTCGGGCTCCTCCACAACCCGCCGCACCACCTCCGCGGCCCGGGCCATGGTCGCGCCGTCCACCACGCGATGGTCAGCGCTCCAGCTAAAGTTGGTAACGTGCTTCCTCACCACCCTATCTGAGTCTTCCCCCTCGAAGGCCGGCACAGCGCGCATGCGGCCGATGCCGAGGATCGCGACCTCCTTATCGACGATGACGGGCGAGAGGTAGGTGCCGCCAATATTGCCAATATTGGAGACGGTGATGGTCCCGCCCTTGAGGTCCGCTGGGGCGAGCTTGCCTGCGAGAGCGGCTTTTTGCAGGCGTGTCAGCTCCGAGGCGATGGAGAGGATGTTGAGGGAGCCGACGTCGCGGATCACAGGGACCAGGAGGCCGGCGGGGGTGTCCATTGCTACGCCAATGTTGTGTTGGCTGCGCATGACAAGGGACGGCTTCGACGAAGGCGACGACAAGGAAGAGTCGAGGTCGACGCGCGCATTGAGGATGGGGTATTGGTAGAGCGCCATCGAGACGGCTTTGATGATGAAGGGGAGGTATGAGAGCTTCGCGACGCCGGTCTCGCAGCCGCCCACCTCGGGGGACGTCGCGAGGACGCGGTTGAGGCGGGTGCGCAGCTGGACGAGGCTGGAGAAGTCGATCTCGTCGGCGTAGAGGAAGTGAGGGATCGCGAGGGAGCGGGTCATGGACTTGAACATTTGCTGTTGGGTATTCGTGAGCGGGACCCGGGTTTCGAGTTGTGCGGCGCCGGAAGGCGGGGCCGAGGCGTTCGGGGAGGGAGTCGAGGCTCCCGCCGGCCTATCACTGGCGTCGCGGCGCTTGACAAAGTTTTGTACGTCCTCTTTCAGTACCCTCCCGTCTCTCCCCGTGCCGTCGATTTCGGCAATGTCTACGTTTAGGCTTTTGGTAAGATGTCGCACCGCCGGTGTAGCGAGCGAGGCGTGGGTCCCCTTTGGCCGTGGGGTATCCTCTGCACTGCCCGCATCCTGAGATGCCATCCCGGATTCCCGTCTTGTTTGGTTTTGTGTCTTTTCTCCCTGCTGTGACTTGGACTGTACAGGAGGTTCCGGCGTCTTTTGTGAGGGCTTCTCCTGTACCGCTTCCGTCGGGACCGTCAGCGCATCCAGGTCCTCCTTCTTAGCCCCACCCTGGATATCAATGTCGACAAAAGGCTTGCCGACCTTGGCCATGTCGCCGGCGTCGTAGTGCAGCTTCTTGACGACTCCAGAGAAGCGGCTGGTGATCTCCACAGATGCCTTGTCACTCTGGACCTCGCACAGCGGGGAAAACTCCTCGACTCGGGCGCCGGGCTCGACGAACCATTGTATGATTTCGCACTCCACGATGCCTATGTAAACCGGGATCGTCAGAAAATGTCTCTGTGGAACAAGCTGTAGACAGGGAAACCCTCTCACCTTCGCCAATATCTGCCAGTAAGACAGGCTTCACAACCCGTAGGTGCCGTGTGTCGTGGAACTGTCTGGAGGGGTAGACGCCGGCAGCTCTCGCAGCAGCCAGGCGAGCCATGCTCTTGGAGACGTGCCATTGCGTCCGGACGGCGCGCGATCCTCTTTGAAGAAACATTTTGTTTTGATTTTTGAATAGTTAAGAGGATAAGAAACCAATTCCCAACTTCTGATTTTTTTCCTTTTCTACACCTAAGAGAAGGGGAATAAAAGGGAAGGTACTCCCCAAGGAATGTGCGAACGCACTTGCAGGAGGATTGAACCGCTCGGCGACGGCATTGTCCTTTCCCCCAAACACTCGGCTATTCGCGGTGTTCGGCCAGTGAAGGTCGATTGAATCTCCCCCATGACACAATGTGAAATGCCCCTCGGGGAAGCTGCAGGGTGGCCCGAGACCCGCTGCGTCGGTTCAGTGCGCTTGGCTCTTTCCCCCTCGTCTCCGCATTGAAGCGTTGCCGATCCACTCTGTTATCGCTCGCGGCTCAAGGGCCCTCGTCAAAATGTGGCTGGAGACTTGTGGCGCCAGCTTTGCAGGACAGGAACGTCGAAATAATGTGGCGCGATTTTTTTTTATTGTTATGCAACCAAGCATCGAAAGAGGGATGACCAGACTTTCTCTCGACACTTAAACGTCGCAGTCGACAATTCCAAATCAGGCGCAATGGCTCCAACTACACCGTTACGGACAATGGCGCTGTACATGGGCGCCTCTAGAAGGGCCTTCTTCTCTTGCACAGTCTGCACATGGCGACGGCACTTGAGCACTTCCCGACCATGCCTGGCCGACCAGCTCCCAACTCCGGCGCCTGGCGCCGCCCCCGTAGAGTCTCCGAAACCCGACCTCCCCGGATCTGCCATTAACGCCCCGAGAGCTTACGGGAAGCGGGTATACAACTTCACGCCGCAGCCTCTGCCGCGACCCATTGGCATGGCGCATCCGCCTCACCCAGAGGACAACTCGGGCGTGGATAGGAGGTCGCTGAAGGAAAGGAGGGACGACTTTGTCGACTACGACAAGCATCTTGTGCGCCGTAAAGAACTGTGAGTTCTCAACGTCAATGCCCTAGAGTGACATGGAAGAGGAGATAGCTAATTGGGATGTCCCTCCCCCTGTAGCAAGGAAAAGATGGCACGCCCCTACTTCCGTGACTGGCGCAACATGCGGTTCCACGAGGGTAAATCCTTCATCGCGCCCCCCTTGCCCTTCAAGGCCGACATGTCCCTCTTCTTCCCCAACTTCGTCGGCGACACCCTCGCCAAGAACGCAAACAACACCCGCGACACGACGCGGACGCTGCTCGACAAGGTCTCCGTTGTCGCCGTCTACAGCAGCCAGTGGGCCGACGATCAGGCAAAGACCTTCATCTCCCTCGAGGCCAACCCCGAGCTGCACGACCTCCTGGCCAAGAACCCCGGCAAGACGCAGGTCCTCCAGCTCAACGTCGAGGATAACAAGTTCAAGGCGTGGATCGTAAAGATGTTCATGGGCAACTTACGCAAACAGATCCCCGAGCACAACTGGGGTAAGTACTTCTTGGTGCCCCGCGGCATCACCAACGAGATTAGCGAGTCTATTGGGTATCTCAACAGCAAAGTTGGCTATGTCTACCTGGTAGATAATCTGTGTAGGATAAGATGGGCTGCCAGTGGTCCCAGTAATCCCGATGAGCGGGAGAGCTTGGTGAAGAGTATGAAGCTTGTCCTCCACGAGTGGAACAAGAACGAAAAGGCAGCACTCGAGGCTGCTCCAGTCAAGAACGCAGCGAAGGAAAAGAAGGAGGTATCCTGAATGGGAGGACGATAGCTTTTTCCCCCAGGTGGTTTAGGAAAGCCAGCCTTGTGTAGCAGTCAGGCCCACGTAACCTGACTTTTGCTTACAGGTATTCGTGTTCTTATAGTGTACAATATGCACCAAAGATACCCCAATCCGATCAAAACGTCAAAAGAAAACAATTCCAATAACGCCTCCGCATTTCCTTTATGCCAGTAATTCCCCAGTCGTAACGGCTTTGTAGAACACATACCAAACACACGAGGGACGTCATTTCAGCCATGCCGGGTCTTCACTTACTACAAGAACCACCAGAACATCAGAAAACAAAACGCAATGAAGGCGCCCATGACGATGCCGTCGCGGCGCTTCTTGGCCGAGATGCGGTTGATTAGGCTATTCAACCCCGGCACCTGGCTGGCAGCCATTGTGATACGACGATTGATGCTGGCGAGCGTCTCGCGCTGGATGTTGAAGCTGTCCTGGACAGCGTAGGCCTGGGACAAGACGCTATCAGCCATGTTGTGACTGTTATCGATACGGCTGCGCTCGGCGAGCATGTATTCGGCCTCGGCGTTTTCTGGGTTGTTGGCACGGTATTCGTCAATGTCGGAGCGGACATTCGTAAGAAGGTGGGCGCGGTCGCGAGCCTCGGATATGGTTTTGCGCAGGCGCACGAGGTCGCGCTTGTGTTCGGCGAGCTTCTCACGGAGGAGGGCGAGGTTGTTCTGTTTCAGGGCGGAGGAGGTGAGGGTTGCTTCCGAGTCGAGGAGGCGGGATAGTTGTGAAATGACACTCTCGCGCTGATGTGTTGATGGCCATGTTAGTACAGATGTTCGAGACAGCGAAAGAGGTGAGAGCCGAGATCTTTCAGACGAGGGCTTGGGCGTACTTTTTCAAGAAGATCTTGTAGCTTTGCTTCTGTGGTCCTTTCCTCCTCTGTGGGCTTTGCCGGAATGTCGGATACCGTCGAGAACTGGGAGTAGGTGTGGAATAGCGTCTCTGTCTGTAGAGGCCGGATGTCAGGGAAGCCTGGATGACGTTCTGGGCAGAGTGGTTCCGTACCTGTGTTTCTAGACTTCGTGCCTGTTGCCGTAGCTGGGCCCAGCCCGTGTTTCCTGAAGCCGCAGCCATGACGCCTCGATGCAACTTGTGTCTGGCTTGGTTGTTGGTGTATGTGGGTAGGTCTTCAAAGTCGAGATGTTGTCTTTCGATAGTCTCTGGCATGTCCGCGTGTCTGGGACTGTCGGCAGGGACCAGATGCAGCAGGGAGGAGCTCGGCGTCACATGGACCGTGCACCTCGAATGATTATGTAAGTGCCGAAGGCGTCGCACCGAAAATGCAGGTGCGGGTAGAGTCGCATCAGAGTCGAGAGCCTCGAAGATTTGCTAATAATGTACCAGAAACCGGCGAAAGAAGTCGCTTGCGTCTCAGATACTGCGTAGGCGTCCTTGCCTATCCCAGAAAAGGCCTATTGCCTCAAAACAATTTCCGATAGGAGCAAAAGGAAGGCATGAAAGTCAATTTGAACTTATGATATCCTCATGCCCAGAGGCATAATACTCAACTGATGAGATTCAAAATTTTGGATTGATATAGTCAGGATTGAAAAGACACTTCAAAGGAGTCGGAACACGATGTTGTAACTACATGCCGATGTCATTGACATCTCGCTCAGTGAAGCCCTCTTGACTATTACAGCCAGCCTCTGGTGACAGACTGTGGCTAGTGCTGCTGTGGCGCAGCTCATGACTGGCGGCTTCCAAACCCCAAGGCCCACATGCACCCAATCACAGCAGGCCCCGCGCCGGGTCCCGAATTTTTGCGCACAAACTAGGGCAACAGCTTTTTGCCAAACTTTCAAATTTACGATCGATCACCTCAGCCTCTCTCACGACGTGTCGATACTAACCCAGATATCCAGCGCCACCCCCCATATCAGTCAAGATGGTGAGTGAACCCCTTTTGCTCTCCCTGATGGAATTCGCGATCCCCGAATAGCACGACGCAACTTTTCCGCCGAATCCTCGACACCCCGCGCCCGAGTTACCCCCTTCCCGACGAAGAAGCGAACACCACAGCGCAGCAGGATCTCACTGCAAAGGAGCTACAGAGGAGAAAAGAGAACCCGTTTCGCTGACGAGAATTCATCATGTCCCAGTCGTCCGGAAAGGTCAAGGCCGTCGCCCTTTGGAGCAAGAACAAGGATGATTTGACCAAGCAACTTGGTGAGCTCAAGACCGAGCTCGGTCAGCTCCGCATCCAGAAGATCGCCTCTTCCGGCAGCAAGCTGAACAAGATGTGCGTTTGAACCCCCCGTCCTGATTCGAAATCAATTGGAGGAATCGTCGACCGAAAAAGAGAAACCAAGAGGACTGACCGGTGAAATTTTCCGCTCTACAGCCACGACATCCGCAAGTCGATCGCTCGCGTCCTTACCGTCATCAACTCCAAGCAACGCGCCCAGCTCCGCCTGTTCTACAAGAACAAGAAGTACGCTCCCCTCGACCTCCGCGCGAAGCAGACCCGTGCCATCCGCCGGAGATTGTCCGAGAAGGAGGCCAGCGCCGTCACCGACAAGGCCAAGAAGCGCACCACCCACTTCCCCCAGCGCAAGTTCGCCGTCAAGGTCAGTAGCGTCGGAATATCTGCCATTCGGAGGGAGGCCAGGGAGTCGTGAGAGGAGCAATGGGATGCAGGGTCGCATTATGAGATGAAAGATCTTCCAGAGATACTCTCTCCCCACCGCTGTCTCGTGTTACCTGGCCATGTTTCTGAATGGCACCATCTCTTGAGGGACGAATAGCATAACTGACTCTTCAAACAGTCTGCTTAAATTTAGACCGACCGCTGCTGGGTTAGATCTGGGGATGAGGAACAATGAAAATGGTCACGGAGGCGTAACACGTTTTTGGCACACGGGGATCCCGAATTACTCGATGATGCATTGCATGGTCACGGAGGGAAATTAAGGGTTTATTTGCACTTTTATCATTTCTCCCCCCAGTGCTGCAAAACACGAAATGGATTTCTCTCAAGACGGGTCAAAACATTGGTCAAGCGAAAAACGAAAAAGGATGGGCTTCACAAGAATCCCCTCTCTTGTTCTTTCCCACCCCTCCTTTCTTGCGTGGTGGGAGGGAGAGGATTCCCTCGGGTGTGTGTGGTGTGAGGTAGCATAGAGCTGCCACAATGATGGGGCCCAAAGATGTCCCGACTTCAAAAGTTTGCTCTTTTTCCCCCCTCGATTGTGATGGGTTCCTCAAAATGATATATGACGATGTGTGACGGTTTTACTCCAACTATTCTCACCTGCGCAGCATTGGTGCAAGACCTCGTCGGAGATATGGGCTAGATAACTTTCATGGTCAAGCCCGCAGCTCCGTCTCAGTGTCCCTTTCCTCCATCGCTGTTACATATATCTATTGTCTGCTTCGTGTAGTCGTTCATGTCTCCGTCTCATACTTGTTTTCACAATCCATTACCCTGGCCCCCTGGCTACTTCATATCTGAAAAATGCCCAAGATGAGGGTTGCGCCCCCACTATGGCATAATTACAACATGCTGAGTATATCAGGTATACCCATTGAGAGCCTCCACCACACTTCATGCCGCTCCAGAGTCACCTTTCAAGCTTGAGGTTGCAATCATATTCGACAATGCCGGGAGACAGCGCCTCTCAGGAGAATTGAAGGCTATAAACCAGTTTGGAAGACGACTGGCTTCACCACTTCATAGCATAGCATGACGTTAGGGTGGCTATGTGCTTTCCGTCGCAACAGGAACCCCTCTGTATCGTTCACGATAAACACGATACCTGCCAGTATCTTCGCCAGCAACTCTGGTTGACCAGGTTGTAGCTAGACAGGCAGTACCGTACTCGAGACTGGTCTGCTCTGCCGTTCGACCGGTCAAAACCGACCTCTCTGCTTAGACATCTTTGTTCCTTGAGATGCGAAGTACTTTGCGGACAACATAGATAATGGGTCTCGAAACGAAATAAAGTTCGCGATAGGCAGTATCCCACGCCCAGGTATGGCCAATGTTCCGCGTTGAGAAAAGAGAGTCGCAATACTGATCTGAGAGGCTGGGCTTCACGCAACGCGCGCTTACGATAATTCATATCTGCAGTAACAAACAACTTCTTACCTTAGTTGCGCAGGACCTTGGTAACGAGGACGATGGAGGTACTTTAGAAGCTCACCTTAGGTCATCTCGTCAGGCGTGGGCAAGAAACTATGGCAAGTCTTCCAAGTTTGACGGAGCTCACAGCTAACAAGAAACGATAAGAAGACTGTAAGGAGACCGTCTACAGTCGATGGGTCGTGTAGTTCTAGATCTTGGAGCTGCCTAAGGGTTCCTTTCACTCTACTCGCGGTACTTTCGTATGGGCGGAGTGGTTTTGACCAAGACACAACACTGGGGCACGAAAGACTAATCCCGCGATCTGTCAGTGAAGCGAACTCCATGTGTTACTTTCAGTGCGTTTCATGTAGCCTCGAAAAGCACGAGACTTTGACCGCAAATTCTGTTCGAGTTTCTCTACCCGTAGGCAGCGGCTATCGTGCGAGGCGCATCAAGTCAGGAAGACTGTCTCAACTCGAGGGCTTCTCTATGATCGACATGAACACGACAAATCCAAAAAGTCAGCCAGAGGAAATAAGACCGACTGGCTGTCCCATGGCAAATGATCCACTCCAGCAGTAGTTTCTGCACTTGTGAGCTCCCCTGAACCGCCACCAAGCCCATTGACTGTCACGAACAAACATCCACAGCCGAGTCTAGAGCATCACTGCCAAGAATAGAACAAGGCTCTCTTCAAACCAACGGAAGCAGTCCTCGCAACAAGGTGTATCAATCACCATGTGACCCGCCCCTCTCACGAAGCCGCAACGCAGAATTTCGCCGAAGCACCTGAGGAGGGTGCAGGAGTGGATTTTTTCCCACTTCACGCCCCCAAGGTACATCATATCCCTCATCCGAGAGTTCATCGCGTCGGATATGTCCCTTTACAACCGGCCACCTTCCCCCCCTCACCTGACAGAACGCCTCCAAACTTACGTCTACTGTGGCACCTTACTCACAGGCCTCACACCCGGAAGATACCGTTCACGGGAGAAGAGCGTTGTTTCCTCCTCGTGATGATTGCTTCTCGTCAAATGTGCTTTTCTGTGATCTTTGCAGATACGAAGAAACTCCTCTCCCGGCTGCCTCGTCAGAATGGAGAATGGAGGCGAAGTGGGATACGAAGTTCACTCACGGTCAAATTCTGCCCTGAAGTGCGGACATCCCGTGCAAGATCCGACTCAGCCCATGGCACATTACACTCCCATCGCCTCCACTGTCATGTCTGCTGCCGTGTAACACCTTATTACAAGGTGACGCGATTACAAGACTAGCAACCCCACAGACACGACGTAGAAAGACTTTTCATCTCCAGCCCCGTCCCCAGCAGCGTCGTAGCAGAGAACCGGAAACCTACGCAGAAAATGCCAGAACACCTCCCCGTTGCCTTGCGTGGTTATGTCATTTGCGTGTTAGTAAGTTCACAAGTCTCTTTCCCTTCCAAGCTCTCGCATGCCCCTGAGCAGAGAGACTTGGCAAGCGTGACCTTTTGTCACCTCTCATCGCAAACCTAGTTCTCAAGTCGAGCTGTGTTTCATGGCGCGGATCCCCTCGAGACACAACGCAGATAGACAACGTAGATAGACACGACATAGATAGACACACCTTGATTCCAGTAAAGAGTCCTCTCCCGAATCCCATGCCAAAGACACGAAACCCCTTCACCCGTGAAAAGTGTGCTACCAGAAGGATCATCTGCTGGTTGATGTAGGTCTCTCGCGTCTAGTAACGCTGTGGTAAGCTCTCGTCAACATTGCCAACCTAGTCAAGTCTTTAACTGACAACGAGATGCAACTAAAAAGCAACGGGGAATACCCTCAATGAGTTTTAACAACTAAGCATCACGCGTACTGTATTTCTGCATCACTAATTCTACGTATCGGCCCTGACCACAACCACCATGACACCTGAGAAAATGCAGACTTTTCCCTCATACCCACCAAAAAAACACTAAGTCCATGCCCCTTGAACTTTTCGCCGCCGCCTTGAACACCGAAGCCTGTTATGCCGTCCTGACCTGATCCATTTCTCCTTGTAAACGCCAGTACGGAACCTTGGAGCCTGTAAGGGTATTTCATGAGACGTCGACAAAGGAAATAAGCCATCCATGGTGTAAAATGCCTCCCCGTGAATCATGAACACTTCTAACGATGTGATTAACTTCGTCCAAGTCAATCACTTACTGTTTCTTCGATCCGATGCCTTTGTTACTCGACCGCCTTGTGTCTTCTTGATAGACGGAGTAGGTTTGGCGGCCTTAGGTGCATTCACGTCCTTTCGATGAATCTTCTCATGCCTGCGTTTCTGGTCGAGTCTGTGAAAGTCCTTGTCGCAGAAGTCACACTTGAATGCTCCCTTCACATTGTGCGTTTTTCTGTGTTTCGACAAATTGGAAGACTCCCCAAACGCCTTGCCACAAACCTCACACTTGAGTGGCTTTTCGCCTGTATGAGTTCTCGAGTGCATTGCTAGAAGCCAGTTAGAAGCTGTACAAACCCAAGAATAATGGTATCACTTACTCAAAGCACTCTGCTGCTTGAAGGATGCTTTGCAGCCCGGAAACTTGCAGCTCCAAGGCTTTTCTCCGGTGTGAATCCGCATGTGCTGCGCTAGCGATTGTTTGGCGGATAGCGGAGTATTACAAATTTCACATTTGACTGGCTTGACTGGACGTATTGTCAGCATACATCTCCATTGAAGATGGTGGGATAATGACTTACAGCCGGTGTGTGTCTGTAGATGACGTTCGAGCTTGCTTTTTTGCGTGAAATGACCTTCACGCGCACATCCCTCCCAGCAGCATTTGTATCCAGCGTCCGTCTTGCCAAGGTTGACAATATGTCTCTCCTTGCAATGCGCCTGTAGAGCGTCATCGTTCGAGTAGCTCATACCACAAATCTGACCGGCGATTACCCATTGGCAAGTGAACACTTCAGCTCCGGTCTTATCAGGGCTGGGCAGAGTTTGCGCAGTGGCCGGAGACGGTTGCGGAGACGAGGACGCCTGGAGCCCTAGAGGAGAGGTGGTAGACTCCTTATCTTGGGCAGCATGGGTCGGGTCAAGAAGACCATCCCGTGGCCCTGGAAGGAAATGAGGCTGACGATTCGGCGGCATTAGAGGCGGGTAAGAGTGTTGTGTTGCATGGGGATAGTTGTGATGCTGTCCTTCTGATGCAACATGTTGTTCTTGGAAATGGCTAGTCCAGTCCTCGACGCCGTTGAGCTCAGCACCGCAAGGTATGAACTCTGACGAGTTCGGGTCGGGCATGCAAAAGGATAAGTCTAGTCCACCTGGATGAGCATGCGACAGGTGAGGAAGAGGGCACCTGGTTGGCAAGTTCCGGTTCTGCGTAAGGCAAGGCTGTATACAGTTTGTCTGATCGTGCGCATGCTCGTTGAGATGCATTCCAAATACCATCCAATCTGCAGGCGCAGACGTGGCAGGATCCCCAAAGCCGGCGAAAGAGCTGAGGACAGTGTTGTAGAGGTTGGGGTTACTCTGATAGGGGTTGCCCATGTTCATCGAATGAGCCATCGACAAGGTCATCCCGCCAGGGTGGAAATGATTCTGAGATGCTGCTGAGATTTCTCCACTCTGGTAGGGGCTTTGGGTCGCGTAGTATTGGGAAGACATTGAGGGCATCGAAGGCATCGACGGAGCCATTATGCTGTCCTGAGCGAAAGTGTCCCCCCCTATGGAAGCCAACACATCGGCGGCAGCTTTGTCCTTCTCAGAGAGAATGTCATTAGCTGGACACTCTGCGTCTGTACATTGCGCAGCAGCTTCATCGCAGTCGTCATCGTCGCAAGCTTGAGCGCAATCTTCGTCAGTGCAGATATCACCAGCTTCACTGGCGCCGCACTCACTGACACACCGATTACAATCCACACTACTACAAGCCGCGGAGGTACTATCGTCCTCGATCTGAGGGCTCGAGTTGGGCGTCTCGAGGCCAAAGCCCATGGGCACCGTCGGTGACATGATGGCATCCGAGCCAAAGCCCAAGGGCATCTGGCCTCTGGGATCGAAGTAGTTTGGTAGTGCGGGCATCGTGGATAGGCTGTGGTGTCTTCGCGCATGCATCGGTATGTTATTCGGGTTGAGAGGGTGATTGTGGTTGGGTACAGGATGATGTTGGTTGTTGCTATCTGGACCTCTGCAGGCAATGTGGTCAAAGTCCAAATCCATACAGGACTCATCGTGTGATACTGGCAAAGTTACGGCACCAGAAAAATGGTCGTTGAGATGTTCCACATCTAAGGGTTCGAGGAAAAAGCCGGAGCCGTGGCCAGTGTAGGACGGCAAGCCATCAAGATGGCCGTCCATGACTCTGATATGATGATGTTGAGGACCTCTGTATCTTCCGTGCGGCTCGAGGGAGGTCCCACGGAGACCGTTGATCGACAGGCGGCTTGGGCCACGGGAGGTCGGAAAGTCCTTGGAGAAGGAGGGAAGAGAAGAGCCGCAAAAGTGAGACCCTGGGGACGGAGAATTCCTTCAGGTGTCAGAGTCGGGGAGGGTAGATGTAGTAGTAACGGGATAAACGTGTGGAGGATGGTCCAGTAATGAATGCCCTGACGAAACAGAACCAAGACTGGGTAGAAGGGTAATATGAAAGTGGGATGAAAGCTTCAAGGTTGGTACGAAGCGAGGCGAGGCAAGGCGTGACCAGGCGAGTCAACCGTTGACAAGGCTTTTGGGGGCAACAAGTCAAGAATTGACGAACTGGGTTGGACTGGGCACCAGTGGTTCCTCTCTCAGGTCTCCTAAGAACCAAGGGCAACCCGCAACAGTAGGAGCCTCCTACCCACGTTGTGGGAAGGCGGTGTTGCAGGCGCGCGATGAACAGGTGCGGTGCGGCGTGAGAACCTTGATGGCCTCTGGCGCGAAAATGCGGCCTCTCTGGCTGGTGACGGAGGGGCTAACCTGCCAGCGTAACACCAGAACCCCTGTCATTGCTGTTAATCACCTTGCGAAATATGCGCTTTATGATTCAATAGGACATACCTGTCGGTATAATTGAGGAGCGATGGTTGTTGCGCCGGGTTTTTTCTTCCCTTTTTTGTCTTTTTTGTTTTGTTCGCGATATTGCGCTGCAAAATTGAATCAAGTCTCTTGAGAGTGAGTCTTTGCCGTGTCTGTCGCTCACTTCCAACCGCCCCAAGGTGCCGACTGCCGCTCCCTTATTATACTCGTCAAGGTCGACAGGAGACGAAGCCCCCAAACCTTAAAAGTCGCAAGAAAAATGAGAGGGCCGCCGAGATGAGGCCCTTTCTTCGGTCCTCATGCCCTCGCCCGTGACTCTCGAGAGAACTGGCGGGCCCGACTCCAAAGAGACTTCGTCACTTGGTTCTGAGAGGCTGATCACGGGGGTGTGGGTGCCACAGGGGGGGGTTTCTGTAATCACTGGCCCGTGGTTGGTACCTGCCCCACCATGTGCCCTTTCTCAGCACATGAGCAGCTGCCCATTGGTCCGGACTCTCTTCCAAGGGTATGCGTATGTAAGCAGCATTCAATATCAGATTGCGTGAGTGCCCGGTTCCAATTTCGCAAAGACAACATCCGCATCTCTAAGAAAACAACACCGTAAGGTACCTGGGTTACGCCTGTGGTCAGTGCGCCAGGAACCGTCCTTTCAAAACCGCAGGAAGGCGTCGAGAGACAGCAGACCAACTGACGGGTAAGCAAGAGACAAGGCAGCATCCGTCAATAGTTCATCCGACTTTGGAACAATGGCAAGCCACGCGGCTGTCAGACACACGGAACAATGACGAGCAAGAAAGTTCCGAGGCGACGCCATCGCATGTTTTCAGTCCCGCGCACTTTTTTAGCCTTCTACGATGCCGCCTCAAATTCAAACTCGACTTCTCGAAATGCTCCAAGTGGCGTCCGGGTATGGTAGCCAGCCTTTAGGAGCGGTATATGTCAGCCACACGTGAGGGGAACGCTATTATCGAGCGTATGCATATCTTCGTATTGATTGCCTTGCATATAGACTTTCGTCTAGAGTCGCCTTGCCATTAACGACTATCCCATGTTCGCGTCCATGAGCCTATTTTAAATCCCGCGTCGGGAGCTATTGCAAGATCGTCAATGAACGCATCTGATGTAAGGCAACATCGGCTTCATGATCAAAGAAACAAACTTTAGATCATACGCCTGAAGCCGCAGGTCCTGTGCAGCACGTGAAGGCAAGTTCCTCGTCTCATAATGGCTTTTATTTCCATGCAGCCACCGATTTCAGGCTCCGCTAAGCTAAACTCCTTTCAAGTCCATCCCATTTTACTCCGGATATATGTTGAATATCACAGTCATCTGACAAAAGCGGCACAACGTTTTTGGTGATCTGTGCTTTGCAATAGATATCTGCCACCTCACATGGCGAGCCGACATGCCGTCCACCGTGCCGCTCGCATGCTGCTCGCACTTACTTAGTTGCGGAGGCTGTTGGATTACCAGCTTCCATCATCATTTGTAACTTTTATTCCCCCTTCAGGACCAAAATCTGTCCATTCACTTGCCCAAATTGAATCCCGCAACACCGATTTGGTATAAATAACAGACGCTTAATGATGGAAGAGGCGGACGTTCTGCTCAACAAACGTAATGCCAAGCTTTTCCGCAGTCTCGAAGACAGCGCCGTCATTCTGGCTGCCTCCGGGAGCTGCAATGTACTTGACACCGGATCGAGACGCGCGGAAGACGTTGTCGACGAAGGGGAACTGGTTCTCGTCAGAAGGTTTACACTCCAAGCAGGCACGAACTTTACTCACGAAAGCATCACTTGACACAGCGACATTGGTCAGCTTGCCAAGCCACTCTTCCCTCTCCGCATCAGTGAACGCGGGCGGGACCTCCTCGAAGACAGCCTCGAACATATCACGCTCCGCACCGGACTTGGGGAGCTCGCCACTGACCAACAGATCGATGGCGTTGCTCTTGTCGGGGCGCTTGGTGCCCTTCTTCCACTTGATGCCCAGAACACGAGGGTGGAAACGCAGCCACCAGTTGTCTGCCTTGTCGCCGGCAAGGCGCGTGCAGTGGATTCTGGACTGCTGACCAGCGCCAAGGCCAATGACCTGCCCGTTGTAAGCGTAGCAGACAGAGTTACTCTGAGTGTACTTCAGGGCAATGGTGGCGACGGTCAGATCTCGGAGGGCGGACTCGGAGAGAGGTCCAGACTCCTTGGGAGTGATGATTCTGTTGAATGACTTGGGCGCAATCTCGATATCGTTGCGGCCCTGCTGCAGAGTGACTCCGTAGACGGTCCGGGTCTCGGTCTTGGCAGGGACGTAGTCGGGGTCGATCTGGAGGACGAGGTACTTGCCGCCCTTCTTCTTCTTCAGGAGCGCAAGGGCAGCATCCTCGAAGCCAGGGGCGATGACACCGTCAGAGACCTCCTTGGAGATGATGCTGGCAGTGGGAAGATCAACAATGTCACTGAGCGCAATCACGTCACCGAAGCTGCTCATGCGGTCGGCACCGCGAGCACGGGCGTAGGCCTGAGCAAGAGGGGAGGAGTCGATACCCTCAATGTCGTTGACGAAGTAAACCTTCTTCTCGTCGTCGGTCAGGGGAGTGCCAATGGCAGCACCGGCAGGAGAGACGTGCTTGAAGCTGGCAGCGGCGGGCTTACCCAGGGCCTGCTTAAGCTCCTTAACGAGGGGCCAGCTGTTCAGGGCGTCAAGAAGGTTGATGTAGCCGGGCGAGCCACCGAGAACCTTATAGGGGAGCTCTCCACCGCTGACGAAGGCAGCAGCGGGCTTCTGGTGGGGGTTGGCGCCGTATCTCAAAGCAGAAAACTGCTTGCCATCGGCGGCGTATTGCTTGCGGAAGAAGTCGGAAATGGCAGCATCGTAGTCGGCAGTGTGCTCGAAAGCCTTGAGAGCGTAGCGGTTACGGCTCGCCTCGGTGATCTCGCCAGCCTGCAGCTCCTTGAGGAACTCGGCGTAGTCGTTGGGGTCACTGAGAATGGTCACACGGCTGTGGTTCTTGGCGGCAGCTCTGATAAGAGTGACGCCACCAATGTCGACCTCCTCGACAGCCTCGGGGACAGTGACATTGACCTTGGCAACGGTGTCTTTGAAAGGGTACAGGTTGCAAATGACATAGTCGACCTTGTTGATGTTCTGATCGGCCAAGTCCTTCTCGTCGGACTCGAGGTTTCTCGCGAGTATCCCGGCGTGGACGGCGGGGTGGAGAGTCTTGACACGGCCAGCCAACATCTCGGGGGCCTTGGTAATGGCAGAGACGTCCCTATCAGAAAAGGTTAATTGGTTTCGGGTCGTACACGTGAAAGTTTCGGCAAGGACTCGCAACTTACTCAACGGGGAAGCCAGACTCCCGGATCATCTTGGCCGTACCGCCAGAGGCGAGGATGCGGACATTCTGCTGGTTTAGGCCCTTGGCCAGGTCCAGCAGACCAGTCTTATCGTAGACGGAAACGATGGCAATCTTCTGACCCGACATGTTTGCTTTGGTGCTCTCGCAACGACAAGTTCTTGGGGAAGGAAGAATTGTTGTTTAGAGGATAGAGCAAGAAGAGGAGGAGAAGAGGAAAGGAGATAGGAAGGATCGAGGGAAGCAAAAATTTGCCTTGCGCGATGATGCCTGTGGGTAGGAGGAGAGGTTGCGCAAAATCGGCTTCCGATCAAGGAGGGGGAGGGGCAGGAAGCTACGAAACTTTTCTTGTTGGCTACGTGATGGGTACGGAGTCTTGCTATACGCGTAGGGCGGCAGGCAAAGTATTCTGCAGGTAGTTTGCCCCACGTAGCATCGGCATCACACCCGCTGGAGGCACGAAAAGGAAGGGGAAACGCTACGTTATGCGACGGCAGCAATGACCTCAACTCCAACCACCCGGCGGCTCGAGTGGGACATTCAGTAGAACTTTCACTCGCTCAAATGCCGGAGCATTGTTTCCTACCAACACTCACCTAATACCTTCCCTCAGGTGTGAGCTCAAGAAACATTTTGATAAAGAAGCAAACTGTTTTATTCCCTCGATTGCGTGTTGCTCATCCCCCACCTACTGATTCAAGCTCATCAAACCTTGTGGGAAAGAATTGGAGTTTCGGCCATTGGCCCGTCAACTTTTTTGGAGCATCGGCCTCTCTTTCGTGCCAATAAGCCCCGCCCCCGCCGCAGTCTCAAGGTGAGGTGAGCACAACGGCCAGGGACCGGGAGGCACAAATGACTGTCACTGCGGTGCGCTGGACCGCCCGA